CAAGTACAGTCCTGTGCAGCCACCTAGCAGGTCAGTGCACCTTTCAAGGTGCGTAGTTGTGGGTATCTTCCTAGTGGTTGCTGCAGACATTAGTCCAGAGGGTGCATATAGTGATAAAATATCTTGCGCTGTCCTCGGGGGACATATCTCAGTCAGCCACTAAGAAGGTATCAGAATCACTGTTGGTTTATTGTTTGTAAATGTTTGTTTTTACTTACCTCTGTCCCTCCGCTCCTGTCCTCCATTTCCTGTCATGTGAATACAAATGGCAAAGTTAAGTTTGAATCTTGAGTATGCGTAATGCTTACGTTGCATAATCGCTGGTGAAGTGGCTGTGTATGTCACGCAGAGTGAGCGCCCTAACAAAACAGAAAAAGAAAGTCAAACATCTGTTAATACTTTACTAATGTTCCCCTGTGCACGCTATTTTGTCTGGGCCTCCAGGCTTTTCTTTTTCATGGTCCCATTCAAATCAACAGACTTACCTGTTGAATCATAGAATGCTTTGGGTTGGAAGGGACCATTAGAGATCATCTAGCCCAACCCCCCTGCAATGAGCAGAGACACCTTCAACCAGATCAGGTTGCTCAGAGCCCCATCTACCTGACCTTGAATGTTGCCAGGGACGGGGCATCCGCCACCTCTCTGGGCAGCCTGTTCCAGGTTCTGTTCTTGAAATGTAACCCATGGAATACTCTTATATTCATATTCTGACTAGTGAATATTATCTTTTGTTGTTAGGTGAACTGTGGGGTTTTTTGTTTTGTTTTTACCTCAAGTAGCTCAATTAGTATTTCTTCTTTGTAATACAGGTGGGATAGTATTTGTGGTGGTCTTGTTTTGTTTTCTATTCTAATAAAACAGCACTGAGATTTGGATTTGAGAGGACTTAATTATCAGATGGGGATATTGACACTCTCAGGAATAAAGAGCTGTACTACCTCATATTTTTTCAAGATACTGGATTATTTGCACATTAAAATGTAAAATGAGTATTGGGATGGATAAGCATGTGGGGAAGGAGGGGGAGTAATAAATTTAAATAAAATTCACATGCCACCAAACGCTTTCTAAGAAAAGCATTGTATTTGCATGTGCTGATGTTTATTTAAGAAAAAAAATATGTATTTGAACAGAAACTTGTATTTAATTTTGTTAGCATATATTTTTTCAGTTTAATTTATCTTTAATGGGTGAATTGAGAGGCAAAGCTACAGCTGTGTCCTACTCCTTCAAACCAGAAAAAAGCCTGACTTTGTTCACCTCGCCATGGACAGCCATCTAGTATTCAAGTAGGTTTGTTAGGTGATGAGCTGCCACACAGACATCGTGAAGTGCTGGTTTGGAAGGGAGTAGCCCAACACAGGACAATGAGCGACTGTGAGGTTCCCTGAAGTCTTTATGTGGCTGGGACTGTTGGCTGTTTTGTTCAGAGCGCTGCATTTATCCACACGTTTGTAGTACACTCCTGAGTTGCTTCCCATGTCCCTGAGCAGATCTGTATTCCAGTCACCAACATGCCAGAGGAGAGTGTTTTCTGTGCAATGGGTTTCTGATGGCTGGGAATGCCTGGGTGGTTTCAAAAGGCACGCCATGGGCTGATCCTGGGGTGTTGCCATTTGACCTCTGCTGCTGGCTCCCACGAGCAGCATCCCTTGTCCATTATGGGAATCCTGTGCCTCACAGACTCATTTTGAGGAACCTCTGCACTGGCGAGATGCAGCTGGTCTGCCTTGTTTATAAAATAATTTTTTTGTTGACCTTTCAGCAGTAGTCCGTTCACTGATTTACATATATTTTATTAAATCTCTGTGTTCGATGCAGTTATTCTTTGTGAGGAGGACTTTCCCCTCAAGCATAGCTGGGGAAGATTGCTGAAATGTAGTTAAGCTCAGTGTCGGTGGGCAACTTACAGAACTTCCTGAGACGGGCTTTTACAGCTTACAGCTATTAGGTGGCTAACCCCAAATAGTTATTTATCTGTCTTCTGCTTGCTGTCTCAAGTTCTTGCATGATGGGTTGCTATCTAAATCTGACTCTTAGGAGTAGGCAAAGTTATGTATGTGATAGCAAGCATGCAAACTTTATAATTATTTACACTAACGTAGCAGTTTAATTGACTCCGAGTGTCTTGCTGGAACAAGCTCTGTTGTCTGAAATACTTGGTGTTGTGGTTGTCTTTCTACCATAGCTACTGCTAATTTCTGAGTGAAGTCTTGGGAATGCAGTCAACTACATACCCATGTCACTACAGAAAAGCTTGAAATATAAGGTCATGGCCTCTGGAGGCTTCCGGCAACTGAGAATGACAAGTAGGAACAGAGCATCGTATTAACACAAAGGCATGTTTTCTGGGGGTATTCTCATGTGTGGTGGTTTGGTTTTTTGTTTTTTTTTTAAAAAAGGTGGCGGGGGGGAAGTACTTCCCCACTTAAGGTTTGGTGATCCTCTTTCAGGCAACTATGTCTTGCAAAACCTATAATGTAGCTTCCTAACAGTAAATACATTTAATAACTGCTTGTGGTGGAATGGGTATGAATTTCTACTTGAACTATGATTTGTGGAGTATTCACGCAAGGCTACAGAGTAAATGGTCATATGAATGGAAGAACTAGTGACCCAGTTGTGGGTTTTTTTGTTGTTTTTTTTTTTCTCCAGATGGCTCTGCAACCTCATCGCTGTTACCTTTTTTCCCTGTTTTTCTTTTTTTTTTCTGGCAGACTAATCATGGCTGTTGGGAGAGACTCCTCACAAGCATTATAAATGCTGCAGCATCATGGCCACTGCTGTGAAATTTGAACTAGTAGGAGGTCTTTCTCTGAAAGCGGTACCTTTCAGATAGTTTCAGTCTTTTAATTTCAGTGTACTGTAACAGCAGGTTTAACAAGATACTCTTCCTTTTGAGGATTGGTTCCAACTCTTTAACTTTTTGGAGGCCTCTTCCTTCTGTTGGGGAAACTTTTTTTTTTTAAATGGTGGTGCATAATACGCTGTAGTGGAAGTTAAACTGCCCAGGGGCTGTGTTGAGGCTGCCAAGTCTGTGGGACTAGTCATCTTGACTTTTCAGGACTGTTTCCCCTGGGGGAAAACACAATTGTCAGGTTTATTGTACAGTGTCAGATGTTTAATTTGTAAATGTCACGGCAACTTCAAGGACTTCGTGTTTGGCATACAATGCTTCAAATACTGGTTTTATGTGAGAAGACAGCTATGATGTATGGCTGGAGTTGTTGCAGTTCTACTTGCTTTCTTTTTTCAATTCTCTTTGAGAAGGTGGCCCTTAACCCTTTGCTAATAATCTGTTACAGTTGAAGGTGTATGAAGTCTTTTCTTGTCATGATGTGGATTATGTAAAAATCCTGGTGATACAAAGCATGTAACATTCAAACATAGTCCAACCGTTTCTTTATTTTCATTGTCTTTCAATGTCGCTTGTCTGCGACATCTGTAACAACAACTTGTTTTAGTCAGAGGGGATTTTTCTGCTCTAGCAGTCAGATAACTGAATCTGAGCTAGCAGTCTCAACTCCATGTGTAGCAAGTAAAGGGGTATCAGTGGTTCTAGGTTGTAGACACATTGCATCCCATGTGCGCCTACTATTTTGCCTTTGCAGGACATCAGAGCTAGTCAGTTTGGCATCCCTTTAGAACTATATTAGAGGAAGCCACCTTTCAAGTTAGCAAGAATGAAAAAAGCTTGTGTTCCTAATATTCTAAAATGTCCTAAAAGTCCAGGTTGGTTACACTCAACTTCAGACATATAACTGACTCATCTAAGCCATAAGCATCATTGTCCTACTGAATAAGTTAGTGGAATGATGCATTTCTGAAGGGTTCACAGAGGATGAAGCTTGAAATGCACAGTAGCAATGATCTCCTTTTTTTCTTTTGGCAGTAGAAGGAGCGTAGAAATACTAGTCTTCTCATGTAACTGAGGTGCTAAAAGTAAATGGGATGAGTTTGTCTAAAGTCCAGTTAGCACTACTTATGTCCAGGTGCATTACAGCTCTCCTGTAAACCATGTTTGCAGTGGTAGTAAGCTGGTATGGATGGGTTAAGGCAGGTTGATGCATGTTTCCCCAGTAGCTCTTACTGCCAGGTTATATGATATTTTGTTACATGAGAAATAATTACGTACAGTGTTTTGTGATAACTGCATCGCTTGTGATCCAAAAATATCTTGCTACTGCAGTCACAATGACATTGTATTGGGTTTTGCAGAACGTTGTTCCATTCAACAGATTGGGACTGTGTGCTCTGCTGCTGGACCAAACTGTTTGGCATACTGAAATGCCCTCTGGTCCAGAATAAAATTCATTAACCTACGCAGCAAGTGACAATAGGCTTAACTCCATGGGCCTTCTTAGGTCCTTAGCACAGCCTACCCTAAAGACAGATATGGAATGTTATTAACTTGTTTATAAAATAACATTAATCTGACAGTTGTGTAATGCGTACATGTATTTGAGCTGCTTAAATTGCTAGTTGTAACTCAATGCTGGAAGCAGGAATATATACTAGGATTCCTACTCCCCCGAGTCATACCACAGTCTGCAAAATATTTGTTGATAAAATATCTGTACATTTCAATCTGCATCTACTGATCTGTATAAATGGAGTATTAGACCCCTACTCTATCTGTATACCACATAATTCTCCAAAGTCGTATGTTCTGCTTGTAGTGTTTGAAGCAACTGCATTTACTTCTGATTTAAAAAAATTGTGATTCATACTGTGAGATCGTTCAGTGGGAAGAGCTGCAGCCAGAGAAACAGTGTCCAGCTGTGGTGTGGTTCGCCGTAAAATTATGGATTGTGGTTTTCCATTGCTTGTTGCATGACAGTAATAGCTTGTGAGTTGCTGAAAAATGAATAATTCATGCACTTTTAGCTGGAGGTGAAGGGAGAAAGGAAAGATATGAACAAACCTGTAATTTTCCTGAGTACCATAGTTACTGTATCTGGTAAGTTAATGCAGCTACTTTTGTTGTCTTATCATAGATAAACTCTGAAGAGCGTGTTGATACAGCTGATCAGGAGACAGTCTCTTGGGATCGCAGTATTCCTGAAGACATAAAACAAAAAATACAGCCAAAAGAGGTTCCAGCAGAAAGTGTTACTGTCTGGATCGATCCGTTAGATGCTACACAAGAATACACAGGTAGCTGATTCTTGTTGACAAATCATGTGTGTAATTCTGATGTCTGCCTTTTATACTGGAGACAAAATAGTAAGTATTTAAAATGGCATCTCTTGTTAAAGTGTATTGTGTCAAAGCCAGTGTGATTTAACTGAACAAATTGCATAATAAAATCTCTGTAGTTATCAGACCGTAGCATTTACTTATATATATACTGACTCTGAAATGACTTTGGGATTCCTTGCAACTAAGTAATTGCTAAAATAAATGGTTACTGACCTTTATGAATTCTGCTGGAATTACACATTTCTTTATTTCAGTTGTCACTGTGGCAACACTAAATATCTCAATGTTTTTTGTTTATTTATTTAAAGGGAATACTAAATGAATATCCTATTTAACTTGATATGAAAAAGTTTGTTAAAGTTTTTCAAAAAAGCATGCATAATTCAATCCTCCCCTTTTTCAGATGTTTTAAGATGTCACATAAACAGTTCAAGGCAATGCAGCTAAAGTTCTTGCTGATAAGTACTGCAGAAAAAACAGAAAAATGGGGATTTTTTTTGCAAATATTCCATTGATACAATCATCTTTTCAGCTGAATGGTCTTTGGTATTTGAATTATGAGCTTTGAACCAATAGAGGATAGGAGGTGGGGCAGAGAAGGGAGAATATAGGGGCACAGATGTCCATGAAAATACATGCTATTTAAGACACAGCTGTTAGTATCTACTGAACAGGAAAAATTGCTGGAAAACTGAGAAGTCTTTGAAGTCTCTGGAAAACTGCAAGGTTATTTGAAGATACAACAAAGTTACATAATTGTAAGAGGCAGAATGTAGACTAGTCTTCAAAGAACAAGATTTCTATAATGTCAGGTCTGCTTTCTTTTTGTGTTGTGGCATCTGGCTGTAAACTTGCTCACTTTCTTGTTTTGCCCACAGAGGATCTTCGACAGTATGTCACAACAATGGTTTGCGTGGCTGTAAATGGTAAACCAGTAATAGGAGTGATACACAAGCCGTTCTCAGCATATACAGGTACCTTTATGCCTTCACATATTTCCAGCATCTTCAGCCACAGTGTTAATTAAAATTTGATGTTTGAGAGAACATCTGTAGGTATGAATGAGAAAACAGTACCTGGGGCAAAAGAGTGCTGCTGTAGACTTCAGAATTAGATCTGCAAATGTGTTCTGTGCTATAAAACTAGAAAGGAAAATGCTGCCTTTGTTTAACTTAAAAATGATGTATTTAAACTAACTGAAAATATGTTTCAGAATTAAGATCCCTTCCATCAGAGTGCTTATAGCAAACCAAAGAAAGTGAAACCTACACATAGTGACCGGTCTTATATGTGCTGTTAGTCTTTAGCAGAAGAGTACTTTGGTCATTCAACAGAAGACCGTGGATCCATGATATATCCAGGAGTTGGTGTTTATTCAGTTTGAATAACAAAGATAGATTAAAGATCTTAATGGCACCTGTTTGTATATAACGGGCAAGACTGTTTAGCATAGCTTTATTGATTATCTGAACATGCTTTTAATGCCGCAACCCTGGACTAATTAATTCTTTAGTATTAATGACGTATCAGTGAGGATGGCTGCAGGTTTGACAACGTGTATGCACTTCTGAAAGCTTCAAAGTAGTTTTAGTATTTGTGTCATATATTTGAAACAGGAATTTCTGTTCTCATTTTCCCTTAGGCAATACTGACCTCTAGAGTTGTGAAGTTATGCAGTAGCTCTGGCACCGAAACCAACTGAATAAATGTACTTTTTCTCTTTTTTTTGCCCACTGAACACTCAATTTTTTGTGCTAAGTATTTTACTGTCTTTAAATATAAACTTAATTTCCAGTCATTTAAGTAGGTGCTATATTCCAATATGCTGTGAGAATCTTGGGTTTTTTTGAAACATATTTTTCTAAGTATCAACATCTAAAGAAATTTTTTTAGCACTGTAATTTTGAGAATTTCTCCCCCTTAATAATAGCAAAGTGTGAGATGTTCAAGCATGGCATCAGATGAGATGCAATGAATTCTGTCATTCTATGTGAAGAGCGTTCATTTCCCAAGCTGGAAATACCAATACGTTACGAGTAGGATTGTTCCTAATACTACCACACAAATACAAAGCAATAAAGGGCAGTCAGCATTATTGTTATTACACATAACTCAGTCTGTTGCCGTACAATCTGGCCCTCTACTGAGATTAAATTGCTGGTTAGTCTGCTAAGTAAATGTCAAATTAATGGTTAGGGGATGCCACCTACCAAGCTTGGCTTTGAACCTCATGATGAAACAAGTGGGAGGTTGTGTATTCTAAATCCAGTCCTCCGAAACACACCATCAAATGTTTTCCTTAGTATTACTATATATTTCCTTAGTATTACTATCCTCCTGAACTATTTCTTTCCTTAGCATTACTATCCTTCTGAACAAAATGACTCAGTAACACTTTTGCTATCTGCTTTGAAGGATATTGGGGCTTTTTGTTCTTATAAAAAAGTTGTTGGAGGAAATATAGGATCTGTTTCTGATTCAGAGTCATCCTTTTAACTTCTGTGGCTTTCCAATTGCAAGCTCTAAATATTACTACTTGGGATTTTTCCTTCTTGCTCTCTTTTTTTGGAAGTATCATACAAGAATAGTCAGGCATGGGATAATGCCATATGCACAAAAGTGCGTGTGGGGGGGGCGCTATTTCTCTTTCTCTTCCGCTTGTGTGCACATGCAGGCATGCAGCCTTTCCTTCTGTCAGCCCTAACTTTCTCTTTTAGAGGCATCAATTCCATTTTCTCAGATAAGTATCCTTTTATCTTAACAGAGATTTTCTTTTGTAAACCTTAGCAGAATTTGTGTTTCTCTTGTAGCCTGGGCAATGGTGGATGGCGGATCAAACGTAAAAGCTCGTTCCTCCTACAATGAGAAAACTCCAAGGATTATTGTGTCCCGCTCCCATGCAGGAAAAGTTGAGCAGGTTGCGCGGCAGACATTTGGAAATAAGACTGTGATAATCCCAGCTGGTGGAGCAGGTTTGGTTCCTTAAGCATCTTATCCATTTTATTGCTTCCGAATGATTTAACGGGATAGCTGTTATTAGACAAAAGGGTATAACTGTGGCATCTCCTCTTTTTTCCTCTTACCTTTTGTTCTTCACATCTCTAAAAGCAAGCACTTGACAATAGGGACACAGTTTTCCCGGTGTATAGAAACCTACATGCAAACTTAGTTCAGGCTTCAGGCTATTCACAAGTTAGTATGTTAGTGAATCTAAGCCTGGACCAGCAATGTTGTTGTGGTCCTTTCACACTGGTGTGTGTTCACTGAAGGTACCAATGCCTCTGTGGAGGAAGAAGGGTTGTGTGACCAAATACAGAATCATGGAAGAGAATCCGTTGGTTGTTAGTTAACTAGTAGTACATTTAATTAAACGATGGTTTAAGAAAAAGCCATTAAAGGTTGGTACTGTTTCTTGCATTTATGTCAAAAGAGAAAACTGGTGTCACTAAAGTCCATTTTTATCTGCCTCATATTCAGTCCAAAGAGGTTTTAGCGTACTTTTTGTAACCTTGCACAGTATCCTTGTGCATATTACTGGCAGAATGCAAATATGTGAGGCACTACTGTGAAGCAATAGCTGTTTTAAAGAAACAGAGAAGCCATGCAAAATTTCAGTTTTACAGAAATGTATCTTTCTGTGTCTTTAATATGGAAAGCTAGAGCTCCCTTACAGATTGTTTAGTCAAGAAGATCTTGCATAGGTTCTTGACAATGAATCTAAACAAGTTTTCTTATGATAAAGTGAAAGCTTAACTGATTATAGTAGATCTTTGCCACAGCTCGACTCTGTATAAGAAGGTAAAGGAACAGTCTAATGAAACAAGGATATTGCTTGAACAGTTGAAAAATTGAAAAAAATTCCATAAAAGAAAGAATATTATTTTGAGCAATGACTTTGTACTGCATAATGTATGATAAAGGGGAATGCCCTGGGCTCAGTTGCTTTATTAGAGAGTGGTATATGCATCTTCCTTCTATTGTAATAAAAAGTAAGGGAAAAAAAAAAGGTAGACTTCAGCATAATGCAGAGATTGAGAAATAAGTGAGTGAACGTAAGAGCAAGACTATATTTGAGTTTCCGGTCTTGTTCTTTTAATGTGTCTCTAGATATGTCTATGTAGCATGTTGGTAAAGGCTGTCTAAAAATAATGTGTCCCAAATACTCAAGGCCTTAATTGGGGTGCAGTGGAAAAACGGGGGCAGGGGGGGCTCTTTTTTCAAATTTTCTCTACAGTTCAGAGGGCAGACAAAATTTATTGGTGCCTCTGCTATTATACTGGATGGCAGGGTGTAATTAATGATACACTTTCCCAAATCTTGCATGTGCATATTAACACTTACTAGTAGATTTATCCTTTGTGATGAATAGGAAAACTTAGATTAACTTTTTTTTACTTCTGCCCGTTTCTTCTAGGTTATAAAGTGTTGGCCCTCCTTGACGTGGCTGAAAAGAATCAAGAAGAAGCTGACGTGTATATCCATGTCACCTACATTAAGAAGTGGGACATATGTGCTGGAAATGCAGTGTTGAGAGCATTGGGTGGCCATATGACTACCCTGACTGGTGAAGAAATTAGTTACACTGGCTCAGATGGCAATGAGGGAGGACTTATAGCCAGTATCAACATGAACCATAAAGCACTAATTGAAAAACTTCCAGATCTGGAAAAAACATCACACAAATAAACTTCACTGATGGGGAAGTACAAGTCATGCTTTTTGGAGCCTCCAAATGCTCTGTCTGAAGAAGCAGGTGTGAAAACCTGCTGGGAAAGATGCACAGCAAAGCAAAGCAGTTTGGTGTAGGGACTATATCATGCATTGGGTTTCTTCAGAGGTGGTATTTAAAAAAGAATAAAATAATAATAATAATTAGAAGTAGGAAGGGGAATGACTGCCTCACACTTCAGTTGCCACGTTTTTGGGTTTTTTTCAGACTGTTTTCATGCAGTTCTTATACTCAAGGTGCATATACAGTATATATTTGTGAACATAGGGGAACTAAAGAAAAATCCAAATTGATTCATAAAATAACCTAAGTGGTTCTCACAGGAATTTCTTGGAACCTTTTACATCTTGTTACTGTAGTTGTAGGAACTCCATAATGAATTAGGTAGGAAAAAAGGTTGATTTGTATAGCCATCTGATAACTCTGTAAACAGTTTAGCAGGAGACATGACCCTGTGTTCTGTATCCCCTGAACAGAAAGCACAAGAAGGTTGACACAAATTTATATGCAGCAACAGTTTATCTTTGACAGCGTGGCACTCCGTCTGCTTTTTAAGAAGGAAAAAAAAGAAATGTTCTGTACTATTTTGACTTTTTTCCTGAAGATGTAAACCAATTTAGTTCAGATGGGTTGTGAATATCAGTGTTTTATTAATCAGTGTAATTATTTCCATATACCTTTTTAAAAGAAGGCAACTTTCCTTGTATAGTTTTTAACAGTTACTTCTTGTCCTTGATTTCTGCGTACAGTGTTGAAGATGCATGCTAGATTTTTCTCTAATGTAGGACTTGTTCATCATTTGATGTTTGTGCCTATAGAAGCAGCCTCTTCCTGTTTTTTTGTTTCTTTCTTTCTCTCCATTGGACAGAGTCATATGGAATGAGTTTAACAAATAGTAAGTTGGTTGGTTGTTTCCATTTACAACATAGAATCGTTTAGGTTGGAAAAGGCCTTTAAGATCATCCAGTCCAACCATTAACCTACACTACCAAGTCCACCACTAAAACAATCAAGGGTAGACTACACTAAACCATGTCCCAGAGTGCCACGTCTACCCGTTTTTTGAATGCTTCCAGGGATGGTGACTCCCCCACCTCTCTGGGCAGCCTGTTCCAATGCTTGACTACCCTTTCCGTGAAGAAATTTTTCCTAATATCCAATCTAAACCTCCCCTGGTGCAGCTTGAGCCCATTTCCTCTCGTCCTATCGCTAACTACTTGGGAGAAGAGACCAACACCCACCTCACTACAACCTCCTTTCAGGTAGTTGTAGAGAGCAACATGAGATATAAACCACCAATCTTTCTGCAATCCAGAAGTAACTTTCTGTCTTTTTAGGTTAATGCATGCTCTTTTCTGCAGAAAGCTCTTGAGCCATCCCAAACAGCTTGTGGTTACTTGATTTGTGGAAATTTACATAGAGAGAGACCATTTGAATTGGAATCCGTTTAAGCAAGTTTGAAAAACATGTGACGGTTGAAGTACAGCAGGGTCTGCAAAACTTTACCAAAAATGTACTTTGTCAATCCATTGTGCACAGAACAGAACATGGGCCCTTTGATATCAAATGGCAATTTGTTGCATCTCTAAAATATGTGGACTTCTATCTGCAAAAATGTAACCATCTGTATTGTTGTTCTCTGCACCCCTCTGAAGGGTTTCAGAAGGTTAAAGTGTACCTGTTGTTTGAATTATCAGTAGATGAGTTTCCCATCTCTCCTCAAGAAAGCTAAAGTTCTTAGTTAATACAGATGTTTTCTGTTCAAAGCTTATTCGGTATAAGCTTAGGCTGCTTAAACCAAATTCTTAATTACTTTAACTTATTTCATCATACTGCTGTTCTGATCAAAAAGAGGTTTTTCTCTTTATGTCAGTAGTGGAGCATGTCTAGATACCTCTTTTGACTTCTAGCTAATGTTCTCATTGCCAGAAGACCTCCTCAGATGTTGCATAACTACAGATACAGACCTTTATTTTGTAAACTTACTGGCAGAGTAGACTGAAGCTTAGTCCTACTAGCCTTTTGGTACGGGTAGGTTTTTTTAGATAACTGTTTTTCCAAAATTGACACTATTGCTGCTGTTTGAAAATAGCTTTTACACATGTAGATAATACACAGAACAACTTAACTTCCAATTTTTAAATTTAATAAACTACTATATGCTATGACAAATAAGTGAATATGCCCTTTTTGAAAAGGGGTTGATCTATTTTGAAAAATTTGTTGAGCTTCCAAACCTCAGTGAAGAATAAAAATTGAGATATTTATCAAGGCTTTAGTAATATTTTACAAGAAGACTGCAGCTTTTTGTCCTTCAGGCTGATTTAAATGACTTAAAGCCTAATAAAAAATGCAGCTCTTTTGTTCATTAGTTAAAGAACACGGATTAAAATTTAAATGTGAGAAATAGCCATAGTTAGCCTAGTATAAAAACCTAATTGTGTCACAGAAGTTGAATGCACAATATTTAAATAGGCAATTAAGACAAAGCCTGTGGCAGGTTGTGGTTTTAGATTCAGGTTGAAATCACGTGTAAACTTACCTTGTGAAAATGTGACTGCTTGTATTTTGGGTATGATTCTATCGCTTCCTTGCATAAGCTGTGATCAGGCTTAGCTTCTGTATGAAAATGAAAAAGAAGGTGGTACATATCGTACAAGGGCTTACTTGCATCTTAGTTGAAGGTATGGAGCAGTAAACAGAAGTATTTGCCTAAATTATTTTCCCTTAAGAAGATAAGATACAAAGAAGAGCTTCAGCCCTACTTTCCTTCCTCCCATATGCGGGCTAAAATACCTAGTCTTCCATTAGGAAGACATATGCTTGTTTAGACCCGTTTATATCCTAAATTGCTTTGTTGCAATGGATCACAGTGTTCAGTACCTTTCACACTGGACCCTTATTGGCACAATCTCACTTCCTGTGAAAATGATAAAGAGGTGAGAGTGAGGTGCTCAGTTAATTACTTCTGGTACAGCCTGAGCTCATAGAGCTTTCCCACAGCTAAGGCCTGAGGTGGTGCTTGGGGTCTCCCAGTCTAGCTTAAAGAGGAGCTGCTTTGATATGAGAATAGGTAAGCACCTGGTGAATACCAGTTTCTGATGCCATTTTACAATAAATGCAACTCTTACGCAGACCAGCAAGTATTCAAAAGTGCTTGCTTAGTGCACGTGTGCCAGCGCACTTTGATATTTGTTTGTATAGTGTTAACACTCAGTATGTCCTATTTCTTCGACTATGTTTACACTCCATTCTAAAACATTTTGCTGTTCTGGCTTAAATATTTGTTTGGTCTCAGCTGTGTGGATGTGATCTAAGCTTATGCCTAGAGTGGTAGGAAACGATACCATACCCATGTCTCGCTGCTGGGCTAGAACATTGTTCTTTACATTCTAGCCTTTTCCACATAAAACTGTTAATACCATTTTTAGGGATGCTACTTAAAACAATTGCACGGTGTAGGTGGGTCCTACAAAAGTATGTATTTTCTAAAAATTTTAATGAAAAACCATCATGGTATCATTCTAGCTCCAAACAAGGGAGGTAAGAGAATGTATTGGTTTTCCAGTGGTGGATTTTGAGTGGCTATTATGATTAAGGCAATTGCAAGTGAAATTATTCTAAAGCTGTATGTATTTTCTCTTTTTCATTCTGCTAAAAAGAGTGGGTGGTAGTGTAGATGATACCTTGTACTGTACCAAGAGTCCTAACTTTCATTCCTTGAATGAATGTTTTTCTAAATAAATGGACACCGAAATAAAAGGGTTGAGTATTGGACTTAACTGGTTTCAAGTTTAACCTATTTGCCAGACTTTTACACATGGACTTTATATAAGAGCTGTTTGTTCTGATCTACAGAGCACGTAATAGTAATGAAAATACTTTGCAGAGATGGCTTACTTGGACAGTGAGTTAACCATATAGGTGAAGCTACAAAGTGATACAGTGATGTTTCATATATTTGCTTTTACTTCATGGTCATTAGAGTGGACAGATTTTCTAATTGGCTTCAGGTATGAGAAGAGATTTTTTAAATGGCCAGTGGCTGCAGATCAAGGGCATGGAGGGGGGTCAGCACTGGAGTTCATGTCTGCTTTTTTGTTTGTAAACAAATGTACCCCAACATCTTTGTAGCATCCTCTCATCTGTTGGAGTTGTACAACAGTGGTGCAATACTGTATCCTCCTGGTTTAATAGCATAAACCAAGGAGTCCGTATCCCCTAGAGCAGTACAATGAAAAGTGATCAAGTGCTGTGCTGGGCCTTGTCTGTGTTACGCAGCTGAGGCTGGCTGCTGTGTTGTCTCATGGATGTTGTTCCAGTTGCAGTTTCTCTGATGGCAAAACTGTTTTTGTAGGCTACTGTCTTCCCCAGTTACGCCCAACCCCTTTATGGATCTGTTTTCTAAAGTAAACTAGAGAAGTGGAGAGGAAAGAAGCAGATGGCTGTGCTGGAGAAATTGTAACAGAGAATGCTTATTTCCATTTCCTGATTTAAATTACATCGATAGTTTCATTTCTCTTGTCCTTCAGGGGTTAGATAACCATACAGTTAAGATTTACTGGACCACAGATAAATGCCTGTGATTTTTAAGCCCAAGCAGGATGAGGGCAGGGGAGACTGCTTGGATGGATAGCTTCCTGTCAAGCCATTCACACTGAGCCTTTTTTCAATGCTTTGGTGCAGAGATTTAGGTGCTTTCACACAAACAATTACAGATTTGACTTTGCCAAAATATCATTCATAGTCTATCTTCTGACCTGCTAGCCTCAATGATAAAATTGTGCTACATGCGCTTCACTGTAATCTTAACTCGCTAAGGCAAGACCGTGGTAACTGATGACTCCAAAGATTGCTTGACTTTTAAACTGCACCTTCTGTATGGCAGCTCCTCTATGGCAGCTCTTACAATGAAGTGCTAGCACCTGCTGCGAGTGTCTTCCCACCCCACAAGCAGGTTGTCCTACTCACGGGTCATATCGAGAAGCTGTTGAAGCCTTACGCTTCATGGTTTTCAGATGCCACACCAGCTCTTTCAGCTCTTCTGAGAGGGGTTCAGAAGTGCTCATCCAATTTCGTTCTGAGGCTCTCTGGAGCCAGCAATTAATGGCCAGTTTTCCCTCTTTGCTGTTCCTCATTTTTCTGTTCCTTCCTGAGCCTTGCTTTCTTAGTCCATGTGGACAAGAAAAAAGAGAGATCAGATGTGCAAACAGTCCCAGAATGAGCGAGCCACAGCAGCAAACTATCCAGTTTATCCTCGGGCTGTTAATGTTTGGGACCAAGGTCTAAGGTGCTGATCCTACCAAAAGTATGATAGATGCCAACAAAATAAAGGCATCTTCAAGAGAGATTCATGTGATTGGTGGAACTGGACATGCAGAAAAGGTGCAAATGGACTAAAAGAGAAGTTAAACATGTTAAAAAGGAGGAGA